GTTAACATATGAGAGAATTGTTTCTAATCTCTCAGAAATTTTTTAACTGTTGAGTAGACTTGCGTTGCTAAGTGGGAGATTATGTTTCTCCGAGAAAGTGAAAAAACGCTGCTACAACAAAAAACACAGAAATAGTGAGGTAATTTAAATAAATATCTACAAACTTAGCTTGTTTAATAATAATAACTGAAACACCACCATATGAGGGTAAAATGCAGTTCGATGGGTTCAAACATTTCTACCTAAATCTATATGCACAGCTAACCCCGCTAAATGAATTAGAACTACAGTGCAAATTTGTGAGGAAAAAGAAATACATTTACAGAGACGGCTACATTTTTTTGGCCGGTTACATAAAAATGAAAAATACAGGGAAAAAATGAAATTCAAGAGAGTGAGAATAAATTGTATGAATTTCGGACAGAGAAATTGTGAGAATCTCTTCTTACTTTTTCTTCTCGGATGTTTTTTCGTACTCTTCTGACAAATGGTTGCTCTTTTAATTCAAGATATACCAAATGCCATAAATCTGCAATTTGTTTTTCGAAATGATAATATATGAAATTAGATTACCTCTTTCGACGGATTCCAGATGTGGTTCCGTAGCTAAACAAATTTATTCAAGACAATTGTTGGAGATGCCTGGATTACTACAAACAACAATGACCATAAATATTATTAATTAAAAAAAAAAGTTGAAAAGGAATTTTTTGTGATTTGTGAGGAGGAGTTTTTTGTTCTAGTATATGATGGCGGAATCTTCAAAAAACCTGAAAATTATGGACAAATGGAAAAAACAAACACCAAATATAATCATACAAAATTACGTACATAATGAAGAAAAGTATTCCAAAATTGAACCGAGATTCAACTGTTTTCACCTTTGATAAAAAATGTGTGATATGTCATTTTCTTCCTAATTTTCACCTTTAACCGCCTTTGTCATCTTCTTCTTTTTCTCTAGTTTACTCACAAGTCACAACTGTAAATTATTTGTAATAGGATGTTTTTTTTCTTTTTTATGTGAGTTTTTTTATGATAAACCAAATGATTAGTGGAGGATGGTAGTGGTAGAGGTGGAAGTATATCTTATAATTTATTTATATCGTCGGCGGTTTTATTTTAATTAATTTATTTATTATTTATTAACATAATTTATGAGATAATTGGTTAAGAAAACAAAAAACACGAATATTAAATAATGGCAAAAATGCCCATCACATGGGACTTAAATGCATTTTGGTCCACAAAAAAAACAGTCTCTCAATTAAGCCCATCCCCATGTCTTTAGTCTAAAATACCCTCAATAATATAATTCTTATCAATTCCACACATTATACTCTAACTTCCTCAATATTACACATTGACCCCGAATTTAAACAAATATATCACATTAACCCCCAAAAACTTTTTTTTTTTAGAAAATAATTTTTTTTGTGAAATATTTTTTTTCCGGCCAGATTCCTGCGTTGACCGCCGAAGACCGCCGGTCTCCGGCGTTGACTTTTTTTTTTTTTGAAACCTTTTTTTCCTGAAATTTTTTTTCGGCCGGTCAACCACCGTTGACCGCCAGTCTCCGGCGTTGACTTTTTTTTTTTTTTTATTTGAATTGTTTTTCTTAGAAAAAAAAATATTTTAATTAATATTACCGTCTTGGCTACTAAATTATTTTCTCAGACAGTAATATTACTGTTTGGGACAGTAATATTATGAATATTATTTTTCCGAACAGTAATATTATTAATATTATTGTCTAAGACAATTAAATTAATGTTGGAGACAGTAATTTAACATCCAAGGCAGTAATATTAATTAAAAGTAATTTTTTTAAGGAAAAAAAAAAGTCAATTAACAGTTAAATAACTGCCGGAGACAGTAATTTAGCAACGAATACAGTAATATTAATTAAAAATATTTTTTTTAAGAATAAAAAAGTCAATTAACAGTTAAATTACTGTCTCTGACAGTTAAATAACTGCTGGAGACAGTAATTTAGCAACGAATACAGTAATATTAATTAAAATATTTTTGAAGAAAAAAAAAACAAAAGAGTCAGTTAACAGTTAAATTACTGTCTCCGACAGTTAAATAACCGCCGGAGACAGTAATTTAGCAGTCAAGACAGTAATATTAATTAAAATATTTTTTTAAGAAAAAGCAAAATTATAAAAAAAAAAAAAAAAAAAAAAAGTCAACGCCGGTCAACGGCGGCGACCGGCGGTCTCCGGTGGTGGCGGGTCATAATTGGGGTCAAAATTAAAATTAGGGTTAAAATTGGTTAATTGATGAAATTGGGCTAAATTGGGGGTGTAAATCATGAAATTGGAGTTAAATTGGGTTTCAATGAATTGGGGGTAATTTTGGTATATATAAAAGGATTTTCCTTATTTGCAAATAAGTTTGAATGGGTTGGATTTATTTGAAAGACAAAAAAGTTGGATGTCCCTCTTTTAATTAAGTGCCCATGTCATGGGACTATTTGCCATTACACCTATTAAATATAATAATGGAATCAATTTATTACCGTAATTTATGAGACAATTAAATAAGAAAAAATAAAACACAAAAATTAAAGATAATTATGGAATCAATTTAATCCCTTATTAATAGGAATCCACTAATCACTAAAAACTTCACCCGTTTAAAATTCCTTATCTATAGGCAACCACTTTAATTAAAAATTTAAAATAAAAGAAACCTTTAAATTTAAAAAAAAAAAAAAAAAAAAAAAAAAAAAAAAAAAGACTTTCATTACAATAGAGAAAACCAAAATCACCGAGAAAAGAAAAATTGAAAGTACGAAAAAAAAAAAAAAAAAAAACAATTAATATAAGGAAAAGGAAAAAAAACTGTCAAAATAGAAATGTCTAAAATACCCCTAGATTTAGGTTTAAGGTTATAGTTCAAAATATCTTCCTTTTATATATAAGATATATGAAATTTTATTGCTAAAATAGATATATAGATGATTCCTGTTAGTGATTTTTTTACATTTTCGATGTTCTATTGTTTTGCTATTATACATGTCATAGATGTTTTCTAATTTTGCTTATCTTATATTTTTTCAATATGCGCCCATGCAACGCAATGGGCAAAAATATTAGGGGTAATATGCTAAAGGTCCCTAGTTGGAAACATAATTAGATGTGAAATACAACCTTAATATTTTTTATGAACCAAATCCTTTTATAAAATTAAATACGAGTCACGTCCTCAATTTTTCTTTTATCCATAATTTGCCCTTAACCTAAATCCATAAATTCTAAAGTCAATTTTTCTCAAATTTATTTTTCTTTTTTCTTCTCTCTCTCGCAATCTCTCTCTCTCTCTCTCTCTCAATATTTCTTTGTCTATATCTCTCTCTCTCTATCTTTATCTCTCTATTTTTTTTTGATATCTCTATCTCTTTCGTTCTCCATTACTCCAATCCACTATTGAGGGGGCGGTGGTTATGGCGGTGGAGACGGCGGCAATAAGCGGATGGTTGTTGACGCAAAGAGACAGCGGCTATAGTGGTGTAAGGTCATATCTATGGTGGAAGACGCGGCGACGTCGACGGTGTTGGGCATGGATGATGGCGTGACGGCGGCGCTCGCTGATGGTGGTGGTGGAGGAGCGGATCTAGGGTTTGGTGGTGAAAATTTAAAAAAAATCGATTTGGATGTCTACAGATGTCTGTGAGTGTTTATGGGTGTCTATGGTGTCTGGCGGCTAGGCTTTGTATGAGGAGTTATGATTAGGGTTTTAAGATGTCTATCGGTAACTACGGATTACTACGGTTTCCTATAGGTTTCTGTAGATGTCTATGATCGAAAAAAATAAAAAAATAAAAATCATAATTTTCAATTTATGTAGAAAAGAAAGGGGAAGAAAAATAGATTTTTATATAATGAAAAAATATGGAAAACAAAATAAAACGTGTTCCACGTAAAAAGTAAAAAAAATGCTAGATGCAAAATAGAAAATGTTAAATAATACCATAGTTCATCATAGTATATTTACAATTTGGTGTAATTTCGAATTTGTGAGTGGAGGGACATTTTTTGAATGAATTTAATAAAGAAGTTCATCATAGTATATTTACAATTTGGTGTAATTTCGAATTTGTGAGTGGATGGACATTTTTTGAATGAATTTAATAAAGAATGTGAAGCAAATAGGGGTGCAAGTTGGAACGGATTTTCCAATTTCCGCCGGTTCCGATCTGAAAAGTTCCGATTTTGGAACAACTTTTTTCATTCCGACTTCCAAAATTCCGATTTCCGAAATTTTCCGATTTTTTTGGATTGGAATTGGAATTATATAAAATAAATTTGGAATTTCCGATTTCCGATCCGATTTAATTCCGAAAAATTCCGATTTTTTCCGAAAAATACACCTATAAATAGTATATATTATATAATACTTATTTTCCGAAAAATACATCTATAAGTTTTGTTTTAGGATTTTGACATAATGAATTGTTGTTAAAAGTTTTATTGGATATTATGTTGTGTTTATTTTTATTTATTTTTTTGAACTGAAATTTAGTAGTTATTAGTTTTACTTTTATCGACGTGGATGCTCTTATTTTCGAAAAATTATGAACATTTTGGAAAATTTCGGCTAAGTTTTGAAATTTTAAAGCTTATGTGATTTCCGATTTTTTTTCAGAAATTCCGAAATTTCCGGGCCTTTTGGAATTGGAATGAATTTTTAGATTCCGAAAATTTTGGAATTGGAATTGGAATTGATTTTGTACTTCCGAATTTTTTTGGAAATTTTTCGAAAAGGCTAATTCCGATCCGATCCATCCGACTTTCACCCCTAGAAACAAATTTTAATTAGACTTGTCATTTAGTTCTAATAAGATTTGTTACCAGTGACTTATATCTTAAGACCACAAAATACTAATAGTCCCTTAAAAGAAAACGAAATTAATAAGACTAAAATTGGAATTATTCGTTACAAACTCATTTCTTGCTCGTTTGCCCCTAATCCTCTAGTTGGCCATCCACTTTCTCCACTTCTACATTCTATCCATCTGTTTCAAACTTCTCTCTCTCTCCTCTCTGCTCTCTCTCTCTCTCTCTCCACCGGTATTTTCCTTCTTCCTTCCAATTTATTTACTTTCTTTTCCAAGCGCATTTTGAATCCCAACTGTATATTGTTGCCATTTTGATTTATCTGTTTGCAATTTAGATAATCGTCTTTCACCTGGGTTTTGCCCCTTATTTCTTATTCCTCATTCTTTCATATGTTTCATCAATCTTAATTTCATTGCTAATATTTACTTTGTTTACTCAATTTATGCCGAATTAGGGTAAAATTTGAGCAATTTTATTTGAATATTTGGTTTCTCAGTTTCTTCCCCCTTGTGATTGATTGTGCATTTTCTAATTTCAATTGGGTTTTTCTTCCTTCACTAAGATATTGATAAAACCTAGTCGGTTCGGCAGAAAACGAGAAAGAAAAAAGGAAAGTGTAGTGATGGACCTTCAAACACCATGTAATGCTTGCATTTCGATTAATCGAAAACCAGATACGCTGAGGAGGCACTCGTTTTCTAAAAGCATCAGCCTTCCTAATAACCGATTTAAAACAATGTCGGAGCTTCGAACACAAGTTGCCGTAAAATATGACACACAACAGTCACTCTCTGTTCCATCTCATAAAGTTACCGTACACGATCGTCAACGTGATGTTGTCTATGAATTTTTCGTTCCTGAGGTAACGACTCGTATCATTCATTAATTATAATTTTTTTTTTTTTGGTTTTAATTATTGTATATTAAAGATGATAGAGTAATAATAAATTGTAGGACCAATATATATTGCACACGGCAGAAGATCAGGATATTACTCTACCTTTTGCTTGCAGGCACGGTATTGTTCTATTCATTACTATTTTTTGCTTTTTTTGCCCTCATATTGTTTGTGTTTGGTAGTGTGTTCTGACATCGAGCAACTTATTTAGAAAGCTAAATGAAGATACTATCTTGGATTCCCTCACGATTTCCGAAAATGATAACTAAGTTCACTTTCTTGATAATTAATCTTTAAAAAATGTGATTAATCTAGTGAATATAAAGTTGCATAGACAATGTGATAACCGCGAGATTATGATGATATTATTGCCTATAGTATGAGCTATCCTCCTTTTTAAAGAAATAAAAAAACTCGAACTTCTTGCCTTTTTTGCAATATTCGCATGAATTCCCACATATATATTATACTACCTTAGTTTGTATATGGTTCTCAAATACTTGTAATTTCTTGTGAGACGGTTTTTGCCGGTTATGAACATCGTCTGTTGGTATACAGTGTTGAAGTTTTGCACAAGTGCGTAAATTGAAAATCATCAGTCTCAAAGAAGTCCATTTGGGTATAAAGGTCATGGATTTTATTGTCTAGAATATCTACCTTATGTTTTCCGTGAGTAGCGATTCATGATTGAGCACCCGTAGATCATAGTTCTATGTTCATAATCGAAGAGAACGGGAATCTGCTGATAGTAAAGTAACTTAAAGCCAGAAATTCCAGTAACACGACTCGAGTTGGTATATCAATGCACCAATTTATGTATGATTGATACCATTATTACAGAGTTGGTTGAATATTTACAGGCAGAAAATGTACTCTAATTCTACCACATAATTCAAACTAAATATTAACCAGAAAACTCTATTCATTATTGAAGAGACTTGGAGACTTTTGGATCTATAATTTTCCAAATTTTAGTACTTTACGAAGAACATACTGCCAAATATATTTAACTGTAGGATTGATACGAAAACTCGTCAATCTTGGTATTTTTTCCAAATATTGGAAAGCATGTTGAATGTGGTGAGTTCTGTTGCAGGGTGTTGTACAAGCTGTGCTGTTCGGGTTAAGTCTGGGGAACTCAGACAGCCAGAAGCACTTGGGATATCTGCTGAATTGAAATCCAAGGTATGTTTGTTTACTTCTTATTTGAGTAATTATAGCTCGGGATTTTTAGCAAAAAACAAAACCAGAAAATAGAAAACAAAAGCAATTATATGTCAAGATTTGAAGCCTTTAGTTGTGCTAAGGAATGCTATGATCATAAGTAACCATATTCTGAATCAAATGTTGAGGTTTTAGATTTCAACGACCTTTTGAGTCAATTCTTTAGGTATCTGAATTCGTAGTTCTCTGTTATGTTGATCATCGACTACTTATCATATATATATATATATATATATATATATATATATATATATATATATATATATATATATATATATATATTATATATATATATATATATATATCTGGATATAAAGACCTTGGTGAGATGTTAAGTGAATCGTAGGGATAAATATGTTCAACTTATGAAGTGGTCATGTTCGTATAAAAGTATCTTATTTTATTGAGTTATTACTTACGAATGCTCATATTTGGTTCGTCAGTTATTGGTATTTTCATAGCCAATGTTAATTTACTTAAATTTGCTGAATCAACCAATATCTTATTAATGTACTTAAATTCGCAGAACCGTGCAATATGCCATAATTTACGTAATTTCTGGAAAGTCATAATTTGATCTGTCTTGATAAATTGACAAGTCTTTTGGATTAGAAATTGATCAACCATTTCCAGTTAAAGGTTTGCCATTGTTCTTTGTGATGGCAATCATGATATTTCAATATAATGAGTTAAAAGAATTCCACACATCCACTTACATTATAATTGCATCTGAAGAAACCACAAATTAGACCTACCAGAACTGGAAATATCGACTTTATGCTCTGGAGTTCTAATTGACCAAAATATTAATTGTCGTGTCTAGAGAGAGAATGTTAAGTTTGGGAGTGTGAACGAGTCTTGACGGAAGTTGGTGTTTTCTGCGTAAATGTAACATTCCTACCATAAATACTTGGCACAGAGTTCAATTCATCACCTTCACGGTTCAGCTAGAAGCTGATGTTAATTGCCATCGCTGATGCATTCATTAATAAAATCCACAGAATAACTGGTTGAAATATAGATAGCAGCACGCCTCCAGTTTTATTTATATTGCTCGACAATTGCTATATATTTCGGTCCTATCTATAATAAATCAGAAATGAGCTGCTTAAAATTCCTTGGACACATCTATAATAAACATCTTCATCTTATTGGAACATGTCTTTAGTTGAAGTTATTGAATTATTTGCGCTTTTATCATCCAAGTTCGTTATTCCAATGCTTTTGTTTTGCTGTCGTCTCATCGTATATTTTATTGTTTGTGAGATGTAGGGGTATGCACTTCTTTGTGTGGGCTACCCATCATCCGATCTAGAGGTCGAAACGCAGGATGAGGACGAGGTAATACATATTTTGCCCAATACCCTTTAAAAATCCGTTTTGTTTTTCAATCTCTTTGCACGATATTGGTAAAATTACTTTCCATTATTCTCCGATATTATTTATTGTTCTCGTACTTGAATTTGTCACTACACTTGACCTCTCTTTATGTGGAGCAAGGAGATACTAATTTAAACGTTTTGTTTTGCAGGTGTATTGGCTTCAGTTTGGGAGATATTTTGCCAGAGGACCTATCGTAAGTCTTGTTTCGTAATTAATTTAATCATCAAAATATAAGCTTTCTTATTAGAATCGAATATGGAAATACGGGATAAAGAAGTTCCAGTTGAGTAAAGTCTTTCCGTCCCATTTTTTTTTTTCCGATGAATCATCCTCTTGTTGTTTTTGTTTTTTGTTTCCTTTTATTCTATATGCAGGAAAGAGACGACTATGCATTGGAGTTGGCCATGCTAGACGAGTAAGCTTTTGTTGCCTACTGTTTTTGATGATCGGGATTTGTCCAGTGAAAAATGTAGTTGTATGATACTCTCTTTCTTGTCTTCTTTCAATATAATACGAGTTCTTTTCTGCAACTTTGTGCGACTTGATAATTTTCCGTCCCCAATGATAAAAATTGCGACATAATTTTCCGGGCAAACAAGCTAACCATCATTAGCTTCGCATGGTTAGGGGAATACCATTGCTTCTTGGTAAGTAGTAGTACATAATAACGTTGAAATGAAAATTGATCGAATTTATAGATGCTACATGATCTAGTGGTGTAAATCTTACCATACATAATTTACTCACACACACACACACACATTTGTATGTGTGTGTTGAGATGCACATATCCTGAATCGAGAACTAGGTAGTCCTTATTCATTTGTCTGAGGATGCATGAGAAGATATCGGTTGAGCGCAGTTTTACCGACAACTCTCTTTTGCTTCAAAAGCTCTTGTTTGAATTGTCCCCATGTAAAGGGTTTGTACTTGTTCGTGTTGTTGTGCTTATCTGAAGAGTCAATGAGTTGAGGAGGGCTCTGTATTAATGTATTTGTTGATGGGCTAATGAAATATGCAACCGAGAGACGATGTCTTTCCTTATTTACTACGGCTCTGTGAATTACACTCTTTAGCCTTCCATTAGTCCATGCCTGAGAAATTATATTATTATGCACATCAATGTATGTTTTTTTTAAAACAAAATGTTAATTAAGGAAAACTTATACATATCTAAACTGAAATGCAAATTGGCGTTTCAATTTTATCGTCCCGAGTTCCAACTTTTAAAATGTAATTCTGACCCCTTTTTCAGTTTGGATTTGGCAAAATTCAAAACCCCAAACTTGTAATTCTTTTGGTTGACTTTCTAGTCCAACTTTAGTTAGCTAGATTGGACGTAGACGTAGAGTTATGCATGAATGAGTTAGAGCTTGAATCTCAAAATTCATAACATCAAATATGTAGCTAGTGTTCATTCATGTATGCGCATGTCTGTCACCCGATATTCAATGTATAGCTGATTCAATTTGAATTAGAAACCTAACTCAATGTACTACAAATTTGATGTTTTGAGTTTTGCCAAAAAAAAAAAAAAGGTCACAATTCCATTTGAAGCTGAAACGGTACTTATAAAATAGAAATGACATTTAGCATCTCACTAACCTCAAGTGTGTCGCCGATATTGACAACAAATGAGTTAGGAAGAGGGCGAATCCCCAACCATTGATTGCGGTTGTGGCTGCTTTGTACTTGAAGGCCGCCAACTTCATCTTGAAGCAAAATAGTGAGTGTGTGGGGATCCGAATGGCTCCCCAATCCGAGACATTGACCCGGTAAAGGGCAAGGTGGATACCTATTAGCTCTAATCATCGTACTCTCTTTCTCTTGCAACATGTGTCTTGTGAACACGTCATTTTCTAGTCCTAAACCATGCGCTATCATTTCCAAAATGGTTATTCCTAGTTCATCCATTGCCTCCATGTATCTAATCATTGCATTGCTGATTTATTTTTTTAATCAGGAATCATCATTTGAGCATAATTATCAAATAATCGTTTAGATTTGATTTATTCGAACTTATTAAAATTAGTAATCAAGTTAAGTCATTGTGGTAATAGTTCATTCTACAGTTCACTATAATTTCTAACTAATATATATCAATTGTAGCAAAAAAATCGCTTAACTCGGTCTTCTTACGGTTTAATTTCCATCGTCTCCTATTTTTCTATTTGTATAATTATATGAAATAAATAAACAAATGAAATCATAGTATAATATGAGCAAAAAATGAAGTATAAGAACCTGAACTCTTGTTGATTCTGGTCACCGTAAACTCTCTTGGAAAATTCGACAACCTGTTGTGGCGATTGGAGCAACTGCAAGATTTCCGCCCAAGGCAAATTGTGTCCGTAATCAAGATTTGAAGCCGAATAACCTAATGGCAAGCTTTTTTGTGTTCTAGCACCCTTTAGCTTCTGCTCCATTGGAAGATCGAACAATTTATTTAAGCAAACACTTATATCGTTAATGATCTCATGAGCCACCCCATGATCCATCAGCTTAAAAAATCCCCATTTTTGAGCGGCTTCCACCATTGTTTGGCACATGGTGTCGTAGACTTGATCGTCTTTGTTTGACTTTTGTCGGACCCCACCAAGACTTATCACCGGAATATCATCCGAGAAATCATCGTGCTTTATTGAAGGCCATTCATTTGGAGACCAAATGAAGTTTTTTACGTGTAGTTTCTGATTTTTGTTGGAGAGTGATTCGACATAGTGTTCTTCAAATTGTGGTTCCATGAGAGAGAGAGAGAGAGAGAGAGAGAGAGAGAGAGAGAGAGAGAGAGAGAGAGAGAGAGAGAGAGATATTTACATGAAGAAATGAAAGCAAGGCGAAGATATATAGGCATTTGTGTTGTTTCTTACTTTTTTTTTTTTTTTTTTTTAATTATTTTGCAAAATAATTATTTTATTATTTGGTCTTGCATGAATAAACAAAAAATAAATTTAACCAATGGAAATATTTGTCATTTCATCCTAATAAATTATATTTTTTTATAGTTTTCTTTTAGTTTGATCTAACACTTATTGAAACTGGTATTACCAAATGAAAATAGATCTATCCTAACTTTAACTAATTAGTTAATAGAAATTATTAAGGGATTTTATTAATGACATTGAACATTGTGATTGGCGACATTACAATGTCCTAACATTGTTATTTATATTTGGCATCTTTTGTTTTGGCTTTATCTATTGTTTATGACACCTGCAATATAATCTATATTTGAAAGAATTATATATGTTTGTAGTATATTGAGTGCAAGAAAATGCCTTTTATAAACGCGAGTCAACTCTTGAGTTTATGAGTAACTAAAGATAGGCTCAAGCTCGAAGTTTTGTCCAACCAGCTCATCAAGCTTATGAGCTGGCTCAGCTCATTTACACCACTATATACTAATGAGATAAATATATGTTATATTGGTTAGTTACTAAGCACAAATTGATTTGATTGTACACATTTTGATCATTTACATTCAATTAATCGACTATGAAAACATAAATTGAACAAGTATGCTACATAGATGGTTGAATATTCAAATCCAATTGCATAGGTAGTTTAGATTTATAATTTAGTCCATTTTGATGGTTCTCCATCTCCCTCGCTGCACTACCTGGACCGAAAAAGGACAAAAAAAAAAGATGAGAGAGAGAGAGAGAGAGAGAGAGAGAGAGAGAGAGAGAGAGAGAGAGAGAGAGAGAGAGAGAGAGAGAGAGAGAGAGAGAGAGAGAGAGATTCACCATGAGGGTTAAAATTGGATGAAGATGGTAAAATCTTTTGCAATCTGACCGAATCATGGAACATTAATGTGTTATAGGCCATGATATCTTTTTTCATAGATAGATTTAGTCGGCTGAATCCATATCCATTAATCCAACTTTGAATCTTCTCAGCTACAGATGGAATTATCAGATTTTCAACACTAAGATAGCAAAGGGCCTACATTCAAACAACATTTACAACATCATAAATATATATAAATATAATTATAAAGGGATTGAGAATCTATATAAAAAGTAAAATTTCAAAAAAAATAAATCGGAATTTGACATAATTTAGAAACGCCGTATAATTTACCTCTTCAATAGCTATCATCAACTTTCTGCACATTCCTTTGCGCCGATATGCTTCACTTGTTGCTATGAAAGGCATCTCAGCAAGTTTTGTCCCATGAATCCTTATAAAAAATAGAAAAACAAATAGTAAGAGTTCTTGTTCGCAATATTAAATAAACATATTAATAACTAATAATATCCTAATAAACATAAGAAAAAAAATGCTAATTAAAAAATCAAAGAGAGCAAGTAAATGCACAAATTGTAAGAAATATATATTGCAGTTAGCCTTAAAGGGTGGCCTACTGAAATATAGTTGGTTGCACGTAAATTCACAATAATATTAGTACCTGAGGGATGCCACAGAAATAATCTCCTCATCCTTTTCAAGAACGGCAGTGTAGAATCCTTGAAAACTAAGGCGGCCGAAATTTGATCTGCAAAGAAGATTGTTAGGAAATCTTAAGAGATCAAAATTTATATTGTGCATCTTGTGTGATATATCACTACACACAAAATGCACATTTATGATGTTATTTTATACATTGTGCATCTCCTGTGCAATACCATCAATATGAATGTGCAATATATACATATATATATATATATATATATATATATATATATATATATATATATATATATATATATATATATATAGAGATATAGAGAGAGAGAGAG